TGCGAGGCAGCACTGAATGAATCAAGCACTGTGTATCTATAGCGGGGATTGTGTGAAAAAGGCCACCACCGGCTGTATGGTTCTTGGCGGCGGCGGGGATTTGTCTTCGATCAGATCGACGTGTTCGATGTTAAAGTTCAAAGTACAGAAAGTTTGTAGTGCTGATATAGTCGATGATGCCACTTATGTCTTGCTTCCTTGGGAAACTGGTGTGTTCTCGGCGGTTTCGTTTCATATATTTATCACCGGTTACTCTTCGCAGGCGATCTGGATCATAAACATATATATACGGTCCCGTCCATTACGACGAATCCCGCCGGTATATACCGTAGGGCTGGTCCATCAAAGGGAGACCATAGCCCATAACGGTAGCAGGGCGAATAAAAGATTAATGCGAATTGTTCTTCCCCAGACCGCTAGATACATATCCAGCGCGCGGGGATTTCCCCACATATACCCACTTCACCCACCCCAACCAGCCATAAACAGCAACCAGAAGCCCCCCACAACCACCATGCACAACACCCTACACAGACGGTGCACTAGCTAGCCAGCTAGCTACCGCCATCTCACCCCGCATGCAACTAGGATCATAGCCCATCACTCGCATCATACGGCATCACTCGGTGCTTGGCAAACCCACCCACAGCTGCGTGTTTAGTTTCTTGGCCACCGAGACTCCTATTTAGGCTGGCGTTATGTTGACTCGCTATTCTGCGTAGGGTGTGTTGTGGTTGTGGTTATTGTTGCGGCGTGCAGCGTGCGGCGTGTGGCGTGCGAGTGATGGTTCATGACCGCATCCTCGGCCGCGCGCGGCGGGCGCATACTATCTGTGGAGGGTTATACTATGGTGGGTGGAGCTTAGGTCTCGACAGTATATCAGGGAGATGTCGGAGCCTAGCGCTGGTAGGCGGTAGCTGACGTAACATATACTAACCGGCTGTCAAGTCTTCTATACCCCCTCACACTCCACCCCAACCGCCCCGCGGACACTGATGGCCTTGCTTACCGCACACTCCGGAAACCAGCGGCGTCAGTGGCTCAAGCCTCCGCGCCAGGTTCCGGAGAGTCCTGGCTCGGTGTTGAGACGGTTCCGCCCGGTGGGGTCGTGGGCGGGGGTGGGGGTGGTGCATGCGATGTTGGTGTGAGCGGGCGTATAAGTAGCGTACCTGCCCGCGCGGTTCTGTCCTGCTGCGCGTGGCGTGGTATCGGGTGTATGTGCATATAGCTTCAACGTTCTCGGAAGTGGTGTTGGCTCGGGAAACGGTGGCGTGTGTGTATGGACTCGCGCGGGGCGTGATGGGCTAGGGTTGTTGGGTTTGGTTGTGGGGAGCCGGGGGGCCAGCAGTGGGGGGGGCTTGTGCGGTGCTGGGATGGTTGTGTGCTGGGAGGTTTGGCTTGGTCGGGTATGGAGGGTGAGAGGGAGGGTGGCAGTGAGTGCTCGGGCGCGGAGTAGGGGGAGGTGGCGGTTGATGGACTGACTAGTGCTGCTGGGTGGGAGCCGGGGGTTGTGGACGGCTGTTGTAGGAAGTGATGAGGCTCGATGAGTGGTGGGTTGTAGATAGGTTGCGGGAGTGGTCAACGTGTTCGGGATGCGGTTGTCTGTGCGGTGGTGTTAATTTCGGGGTTTGGAGCTTGGTTGTTTTGGGGGGTCTACGTATACGCTTATTTGATTAGGCAAGGTTTGTGCCAAGGTGTAAGTAACGATTTAGCAGTGAAAACAGACGCGACTCCCCCCAGCGTCGACGCATGGATGCAGCTGATGTGGTTTGGCCATCACCACCGGCTCCGAGTACGAATATATTGGTCTGGACCGCTCAATTGTACGCCACCGCCACCACACGTACACGTACACAGGGACCAAAAGCCTCGTGGAGACATATAGAGCCCCTGCATGCATGCCTACCTGTAGTTTCGATCCCCGTTCGTATCTGGGAGAATCACCACGTTCACCTTATAATACCCGGATCATGTTCGATCACTCGCCTCATGGAGGATCACTCGGTGGTAATGATCGAGGCCCCCACCCGGGGTGGGGAGCTGGATATGGGCTTGCGTTATGTAGGTATTAGGTCTTGTGTTGATGTATATAGGGAGGGGGTTAAAATCGATGCGTCGCGGTATATGCGGGTCACTGCTATATTCTTGTAAGAGTTGATACCGAGTATGGTGTATGATGTGACTTGTGGCTGGCGTGAGGAGTGGCTAATGATGAGGCTCATGGAAGCGAACACACGATAGGCAAGATACCGCACTTCCCCCTCCCCTCTCGGCTCGATCTACACAGAACCCACCCAACCCCGCCACCCCAGCCACAACCCACCCCCCTCGTGCCGTTCCGAGCGGTAGATACCCGACAACGCCTCGGTTTTTTTCTTTTTTTTGTATCTCCGCGACGGACCTACTTGGGGGCGAAACGATATAATACTGACTTTGCGCGTTGGTGAAAGCAAGTGGAGGTGGTTATTGCCACTGCGAGTGATAGCTCATGACTGGCTTTACCACCTGCATGTACCGGGGGTTAAGGGTAAGTACTGAGAACCCCATTTTGGGCTGTAAGGGCCAGCTGGCATCTGCTATTGGTCGATTCCAAAAAAAGGACACTTGGCGGCCAAGAGGTTATTTGAATTGTGTGTGTTACAGCTTTTGCAATGCAACCTCCATCCCCTCTTTTCCACTGATGCTCTTTCCAAACTCCACAAAAAACATGTTTGAAAGTTTAGGATTGCTATTAGGGTGATGGCCAGAGCAAGGGCTATCATTTGGTTATTTTCTGTATTTTTAGGAAAATATTTAGATTTTTGAGTGAGTATATATGAAGTGTCTTCATACTTTTCTCCCCCATACAAATTTCAGGGCCAAGACCAAAATTCATTGGCTGCTTTTTGGTTGCCATGGGCGGTTCCCATACAAAATCCAAGGCGTCTCGGTATCTAAAGTGAACCCCTGGTACGTTGATGGTGCAGGGTTAGGGTTGTCGGTACCGATCGTAACTGAGAATGCGGGGAGAAAGAAACGGTTGATTGGGCGAGAGAAGGAGACGCAGATTATGTGTGTAGCCGAGTACATCATAGGGCTGACTCGCTGTAATGTGTTCCGATATTATGCTGGATGTCGAACAGGAGAAAAGGCTTGTGGGAGAGAGCATGGGTTCGGGTCGTGTAGGCTTGGACTAGACAATGACACGTGCCGTGACGGAGTAAGCTAAAGGTAGATTCGATCTGTCCTGTATTTTCTTTACTAGTCTACTCGCTCTCGCTCTCCTTCCCTTTCTTCTTTCTCTTCAACCATCATCATCTAGTAGGGTTGTGTATCTATCTATCATCAATACAAGCCAACACACTATATTATGCAAGGTTCTACAACCGCAACCCTAGGGGTAATGCGCAGTCCACGTACAAGTGCTTGGAAGTACTCTACCTACATGTATGTGATAGTCCGGCAAAAATGCTCTCTCCCCCCCCCCCCCCCTCCAAGAAAAAGTAAACTATGTCGCTTTGCTAATAGATCTTGTTTCCTCTCGCATGAGATAATAGACCCCACATACAAATTCGATTCCTGTTTTGCATAGGGAGGGCAGCATCACCGGATTATGAGATAGTGAGAAGCAATTGGCCATGAGGATGAGAAAGAGCTAGCTGGGAGAGTAGACCAGCTTATGGATATAGAGAGTTAAACCAATCTGGCAGCGAGAGTGAGAGGAACCACTGTGTCTCAGATGTGTAATCAGCTCCATCCCTCTACTTTAGAATCATGACGAACTGAAGTGGTCATCAATTAGAGGTTACTTCATCTAAGGCTAACACACTTATCTAAATCGTTTAGTAATGAGAAATATAGGTCTGATCTGTGCAATCGGACCGTAAACACTGCCTGAGCTGGCCTCCAGACATAGCGATCCGCCTCGTGTTGAGCCTCGCTCTCAAAAACCGGAGAGGTAACCTTCTGTCCCCTTACGATCAAAGGGATTGAAGTATTCCAGATAACTAGCCCAGTTCAATTCTTTATTCGGGGGGATATCCGGTCTCAATGGGCCCACACTGGCTGGGAAAGAAATCAGATTGAGGCTGCTCTCGCTAAGGTTTCCAATGAGGCTTCTCGGGATTGGGGGGCTACGGCCCGGTATGGAAAGAATCAGGAATGCTCCTCTCCGCGCGCACGAGGATCTTCTCGGACGGGCTCGAGGGCTGCGCATAGTACTGAACTTACAGTTTTGTTTGTTATCGTCTTACTCAACAGTCCGTTCTGGACACCCGTTCTTTTAGAAACATATCTCTTATACGCTCCTTCCTACACACACTCGCCCCTTCACGAATGCGAGCTCTTCATGGACCAGCATAGGTATTATAAAAGGAGCCGAGACGGCCCGGCAGATCCCGGGATCGGGACCATTAGCGCCGCTGTCAATGTAGCCTCAGCCGCAGCCTCAGACTCTGGTAGTGTTTTAATCCTCCCATACTTTGGCCATTTTCCGTCCATAATCCAGACTCGCAGCGCCGAGACGTGACCTATAAGAGTGAAATGGACCAGTAGCAAGCCCAAGCTGATGGACACCATTTCTGATTTGGCACCTTTAGAGCGCAGGTCTCGGCACTGCGAGTCTGGATTATGGACGAAGAATGGCCGAAATAGTATGGGAGGACTAAAACACTCCAATCTGCTTTTTTTCGGCTCTCAAATCAAAGTTCGAGGTTCCATCCGAACCCGGAGACTCCCGCGCCTGCATATGCACACCCAGTCGTATTTGGAAGGTTGTAGGTACTCTACGTACAGCGGGTGCGATATCTCATTCTATGGGCTGAAACAGAAGGCGAGGGTAGGGCTGTGGGGTGGAGATACGAATGCGGGATTCTGGGCTGGATTACATATTATATACAATTTGGCGCTGTTCTTGTTCGGTTGGGCATTTTATTTTTGAAATAAAACCACCAAAAACTGTGTTGCAACCATGTTACATGAGGCCAAAAGTCTTTAACCATTAGGCTTCAACCATCACCACAATGCCAAGCCCACCCCCTGAAATGGTCAACATCCTTGATCACTTGAGATTCAGAGAGTTAAATGAAGACCTTACCGGCTTAACCAACATCAATATCCTATCCTTCCAGGCAGCCGACATGCTCAAAGCCGAAGCCACCACGCACACCGAGCATCTTTTCCTCAACCTCATTGGCATGCTGGGAATCTTCAATCAGAATTCCATCCTCCAAAAGCAACTGGAGAGCCTCAAAGACGACTTTAAAGAGTCTATCACCAAAAGCAACACGCAGGCAATGTCCACCACGAACCGTCTTCAAGTTGAATGTATCGAGGGATGCATAACAGCTACTCCTAAAACCATTCCCCCGCACCCGCCACCTCCAACCTTCACCCCCCACATGACTACCAGCCTGAGCTTTAGTGACCACCACCCCACCCCCGACTGCCCAAAAATCATACCAACAAGTGGCGCAAGAAAACCTCAAACAATAGGAAATCGACTCTCCCAGAAGCAGGCAAAGGAAGCCCACCAACACACCTGAGAAGCCAAAAGACACCCCCACCTTCACAACCCCTCAACATTGGTTTTGTGCCGTCAGATCCTATCTTACCCCTGTCCCCACTGCTGACCAAGTCACTACCAAACTTTCTGTCAAACTCGGACAGCTTCTAGCCCGCAGCAAGCAGGTTGCACCAGTAACAGCCTTCACAGCCTGAGTCTCCATTAGTGTAAGAGGGACAATAAAAATCCTTTCCCCTGACCGCTCCTTCCTCGATCTATATACACTGGTTTGAAGCCATGACAGCTGTACAAAATAACAAACTCGCAAACCCTAAGAACCCCTACAACAGATTCCGCCCAGCCCTTACTGACATCGATATCACCGTACACATCGTCCCCCATTTCACACTCCCTTACAAGAAACACTAGACAATACATTCTTCAAAGTCTTCAAACTAGCTTCCAGTATCACACCCATCGCCACAAGATTCCTCAAGAAAAATGATGATTCCCGCAACTCCAAAGCTCCCTCCACTGGCACAATCATAGTCAGCATCTCCTCGACCGATGCCACATCCATCGGAGAAACAATCTGCCTCTCCTACAGACATCACCATTGTACGGTCATGTGGTCCGCCTCCCTCCCCACCCAGTGCAAGAATTGTTAGAAATTCAGCCACACCTCACAAGGATACAACAAACCATTTGAAGCATACCCAATATGCATGAAACATTATCAACGCAGTCACCGCTGCATAATCTACACATGCTCACGCTTCCAGAAACACACCCCAGCATGCAGTGCAGTATCGCCATCAAAGTGTGCAAACTGTAAAGGAAACCACCCTGTTGACTCCAAAACATGCCCAAACTACATTGCGATCCTCAACAGCAATAAAACAAACAACACTCCCATCCCCACGGCCCCAACAACAGAACCCACTTTAGATGACCCCCAATCCTCCATGTACATCGAATCAACTTCAGACCACTCTGAAAACAGGTCCCCTCCCCTGCCCATTAAATTATAGTATGTTATGTTGGACAACGCAACCAGCTCACGCCTCCTCCGCATCATACAGTACAATTGCGCAAACAGCAACAATGTGCTCCTAACACTCTTCCCAATACCGATGTCATACCAAGCACACATTATCGTAATTCAGGAATCACTCCTAATCAATGGAAAACCCCGTCCAATCCCATTATTTACCCTACTCTGCCCCACCCCCATGTGACTAGAAAATAAAATATCAACCTTCCTCTACCCCAACTTCAACATTCTGGACCAAAGGTCTTTCACCGCACTACCATCCCGTATGGGAGACTTTACTTCCGCCAACCGATTCTGCTCCCCCAGCACCAACATACACACAACTGTAACTAAAACATTCATCTATAACAGACAGTTGAGCAATACCACCCACTCATTCCCCCTCCCGAAACATCTTCAGCGGATTTGGTAACCCCAACCTTTATCCTAGGGGATTTCAACATGCATTTTCCCTCTACTGACCCCCTTCGAACCATCTCCCAACGTGAACTCAGGTTATTTTAAATATACTTCTATGAAGCAACAAGACAAGGCTTCCTACTCCCGAATACTTCAGGGACCTACAACATACTGTCATCCGACTCTAATAAAAGGGATAGCATGATCAATCTCTACTGTGCAAACTTCCAAGCCTCCACCCTGATCCAAAAGTGTCTCCCCCAGTTAAACCCATTGGGATCTGATTTTAGAATCATTGTCATCTCCAGGTTCCTCCCATACACCGATTTCATACAATTCAAAATGCTCAACTAGAAACAAACGGACTGGTCAGCCCTCGACAAAGACCTAAAAAGATCAAAATCCCCCCATGCCCCCTACCAGCAATCCTAGGTGACTAGTTTAACAAGTCACTTGCCACAGCCACACGCATAGTAAAATCCCATACAACCATTAAAAGAATCTCAAAATAGTCCAAACCTTGGTGGAACCCCAACCGCATCCAACTCCGATCTATTTTCCACTCCATTTCTACTGGCATAGAAGACAAAAATAGCTGAGCCCATCTATTCGAAATAAAAGCCGTAAAGAATGCCTACTTCAATGCAATCTGATAAGCGAAATAGGAAGACTGGAACTCTTTTATCTCTAATGCAGACACCCAAGACCTGTGGAAACTGAAGTACATAGCTTTAAGAATGGAAGACCTCATCCCTTCCCTCTCCAACTCACCCACTCTGATCCTCTTCAACAAAACCTCATAAACGTCTTCTTCCCCTGCGAACAGAAAGTCCCTCTCTCCCCCCCCCCCCCCCCCCCATTACATACGAGAATGTGACAGTAATAACGCCAGAAGAGATCCAAAACGTCCTTGGACACACTTTCAACATCTCCGTCCCAAACCAGATACGATCTCATACAGTGTCCGGAAAGGAATCCACAAATCTAACTCCCCAATCATAATCTCTCTGCTCAACCCATTCCTCTCGCATGGATACCATATCTTGAAATAAAACGATCAGCACGTTTCATAGTATTGGAGAATCCTCATCATTTCATTATTGTATTTATAATCGGTGTATGACTCACTCATGACTCGATTTCCTATTAATCATCGTATTACTCATAGGTCTATGACTCATTGGATTTCTTTTTGTACTACCTTTCATTAGTATAGATACGGGGCATTCTCCCTCAACTAGAGCGATCAATATGATCAATTACTTTACTTCTTCTACATACGTTCTCTACCACCCACTCTCACTAAAAAAAGACCAATATAATCATACTCGCAAAGCTAAAGAAACTAGACTACCCTCGCCCTCCGGGTACCTAATCTTCGTCCTTCTACAAATCTTTACTAAAATTCTCGCAAAAGTGACCAGCCTCCGCTTTGCAAAAATAGCCACCGCGATAGGACTAATACATGCTCAGCAATGCGGATCGGTCACTGGCTTCTCCACTACCGATTCAGTCACCACTGTAATATACAAGACAAACGCTATGCAACTGGCCAAACTGAGAGCCTCCATCCCCTTCCTTGATAATAAAGAAGACTTCAACCATGTTCTAAAACAAATCCTCACCCTCCTCCCTACCACAAAAGCAATCCCACCTTAGATAATCAACTGGACTCTATCTTTCCTCTCGAACAGGTAAATCACCCTCCTCTTCAAAGTCTCCACCAAAATCGCCTCCCTAATGCAACTAGGCATCCCCCAATGTTCCCACATCTCCCCCCTCTTCTTTGTTACATATGTCAACTTTCTCCACAACTACGATCCATCTTATAGCCTCACTCTCTCATTTGTAGATCACTTTGCGATCATTATCCCCTTCCCCTCATACCACCAAAATATCACAAGATTACAATCCCACTACGCCATACTAGTCACCCTTGCAACTCACCACAAAGTCACCTTCTCAGCTGCCAAAACAGAGTTAATGCACTGACAAACATCAAAGGACAAGGACCCAATTTTACCTCTCCCCATCATCCTAGATGGACAGGAGTTCTAAACAGGATACCAAGCCAGCTGGGTAGGATTCTGGCTCTGCCAATCCTTCAACCTCAACTCCCGATTTCCCAGAAGGCTGGATTCAGCAAGAGTCACCTTTGGCCTCATCCAATTCCTCTCCTGTGCAGGCAAAGCCCTGTCCTCCCGGAACTGCTGAAGAGTTGCTACTCTCGCAATAAGACCGATGCTCACATACAGCGCAAAAGTTCTCAACTCCACATCCGTCCTTAAATCCATGACCAAGTTCTGGAACTCCGTCCTCCTCCTCTGTACCATCTATTGCTTCAGAGCAACTAACAACAGAGTCATGTGAGATAAGTTGAAAACCTCCCCACTTGACCTATACCTCTACTATTTCAGGTCCAAATACGCAATATGCATCCTTCGCGCATCTTACCTGTAAAACCCTATCATGAGCAGAACCAGCCCCTCGTTCCCAATCTTCACAGAATCTAGATCATACTGCCAAACCCAACTCCTTAGAGCGTGCCCTTGAAGTTTGGAGTTTGAGAGAAAATGACTTGAGTGTGATTTGAACACGTGACCTTGAAGGAGGATCTGTTTTGTAGTTCGAAGAAGATACTATTGTGCTGCTGAAATTCCTCGACAATATGAGCATTTGAACGCTCTATATATACAGATATCCTAATACCACCGGATATCCTGATTACATAATCCCTGATACCTAACCTCATCTAAATCCTTGTTCCTTCTATGAGTCATCTATTATACATTAGTAATGCTATACATAACCGATATCGCAATGCCCTATTTCTACAGCCCTAACCCCCCAAAGAAATGGAACTCAACAGCCACAAAAGGTATTGCCCAACTCTCAATCAAACTCCTCGGCACAATACTCCTCCCACTCATAACAGAAGAAACCCCCTCTGAACAGACGATTGGACGCGCGAAAACACAACATATCACTAACTGGCTCTTACACCACTGGCCATCAGACTACTATCTCTACCCTCTCTCCGCCACCCCTCCCCCCTTCACGGACCTCCACAAGTTCATCGCCATCCGAATCTACCGGATGAGATCAAGTAAAAGTTACCTATGAGCTCAAAAGTCATGAATTACCAGTCATCCCTCCTCCAAATGCGAACAATGCAGATCAGTAGACGAGACACCAGAACATGTCATTCTTGACTGCCCAGGACTAAGAGTCTATAGAAAAGGCCCCCTACAAACCATCACCTTACGAGACAAAATCTGGAACGACCAGAACCTCACCCTAATGGCAGATGCCTTCATAGCCATAACAAGAACAGGGTATCCAAGAGAGATTACCTCCTCTCCACTCGCAATGGGTTCAACGGACATGTCGACACTCACATCAATTACCACTACAACTTCTACAACCCCTTCACACATGCCAGTGAGCCCAATACCCATGATGATCTACACCTCCTAAGAAAGACACATTGAAGGCACCCATGCCTGACCCAGAACGAATAGAAAACTGAGAGCACTACCCTCACCCATTCCGCCGATGACACAGCAATCCAAAAACAATGTGATTTT